ATTCGGTCCTTTTTTTTATTATTATTATATGATACACACATCAACACCAATCACCTCCACTTCTCCACTCGCAACTCCATCATATCAACGTCACGAGGTTGTAAAAGAAGGAAAATCAATAAGGCCCAACGGGGGTGACTAGCGGATTTATTGAGAAAAGAAAAGAAAGAGAAAGAATATACAATGAATGCCTCAATCATTTTCATATTGCACGAGTTCAACCAATTCATTTCACTGCAGACTCAAGGCAAATTCCAATCGAATATAATTTAGACCAACATCTCACAGAAAAGAAACGAGTACGGCTCAAACCTCACAAGGTAGATAAAGTCAATCAAAATAACCAAACAATTCATCAAGGATGCAATTCTCATGCTCATCATCACAACTTCACAACTCAATCAATCAATTATCAACTAATCTTACTGTTGATACCAAATTTTGGCCTCGCCTATTAAAATATTACACGTGGATATGTATTATATTAATTATTTTAATTTTGGGCTCTAAAATAATACCGCTTGTGATAATATCGGGCCCATTAAACATATATATATAAATACCCCAATGATGGACCTGGATAGATAAGTCTGAGGGGACTATTATTATTTTCTCTCTTATCTGGGACAGAGGCACCGCTTGAATTTTCTCTGCTTCTTAATCTCTGTACTTTCTTCAACAAGAAATATCAAGAAATACAACAAAATTCACCAAAAATTACATCAACAAATATACAGCAAATCCAATATATACACCGTGCTCTGAACCCCCCATGTTGATCATCGTGCATCAACAGTTTGGCGCTAGAAGAAGGGCGGCTTTCGTAATTGATTCGAGAAAAGATGATCTCCTCAGAAAAAGCTCTGTATTCGCTTTATTTCATACAAAAAAACAAAAAAAGGGAAAGAATAGATGAGAGTTACAGCGGCTAAGAGGAAGCTACGTCCAGCTGTGTTTACTCTTGTCCAAACAAAATAGGAGAATAAAGTCATCAATCTCAGAGGTTAGTAACACCGCTTGTAAAAGACGGTGGTCTCGCCACATTTTTCAACCAAAAGACACGTTGAAGCCGCCACAATAGTACACGTGGATGTTGCCGCCCAATATCGCGAGGCCTATTTCATCTTTATCGCCTCACCGAGTTCGATTGTCGGGATCGGGACCTCGAAAAAACCGATCTTGTTATTATCGGACGGCTAAATTTGCAACCCGGGTTCAATTGGAAATGCCCTGAAACACCTCGAAAGCACCTCGGTACATGATGTCGGTCGCCGGAACCCGACTTTATGTCGCCGGGATCCAACTTCATTTCTCCGACTTCAGTAGTACTGCAGACCTCACAGATGGGTCGACCGTACCGAGATCCGGCCTATGACCGACTTCAATTGCAATAGCCGACCTCAATCATCGGCACCAATGGACTTCAACTATCGGCACCGGCCGAACTCAATCTACGGACGGCCCGAGTTCGGATTTCCAAAGCACAACCGACCTCCGAAATATTGTCTACGGGCCGACTTCTGTGATGTCGAGCCCGACCTCCGAAACATGACTGGGGCCTGACCTCACTATAGCTCAAACCGACTTCGGTACCTCTGACCTCTTTGTAGGGAATTACCGACCTCATCATAAATTACCATCACCGACTTCATCACAAGCTCCTCTGACTTCAAAATGGAGCAAGATCCGACTTCGATTTCTTCAAACTGACTTTGGTCTATCCAACTTCCAAGTCCCCCGTCGCGACCAAATTCTTCCTATAATCATCAATTCGAGTCGATCTGTTCGAAACGGCAGATTAAATCTCGTCACTTCCGGTCGATTTCACACTATGACCGTTGGACCGTAAACTCGTAGCCGGAGCTCCGATCTCTATTTTTAATACTGGAAATCCTCGACAACGAGGAGAAAAGAAGATAAAAAAGGGCCGTTTGATGAAATTATTGAATCCAACACCATCCTCTGAAAAAAATGCCGAACCGACGAGTTGAAGTCTCACCGGCAATTTCTTGATAAAGAAATAATGAATTGAAATAAAAGCAGAGGAGAAAGAGTCAAAGAGGCGCTGAGTTGCTTGATATGTGCAAGTACACGTATTACACATATATGTATGTGTATTGCACTTATATAAAAAAAAAAGAAAAAAAAAAGAAGAAGAAAGAGAGGAGTAGCTGGGGCCACATTTATTTATTCATACTGATGATGGGCCGAATTTATTTACACAAAGCCGACGTCCTATTATTGCTCGCCGTCAGCCATGACTTCGGCTGAGCCGACGTCCTATTATTGCTCGCCGTGAGCCACGACTCTGGCTGAGCCGACGTCTTATTATTGTTCGCCGTGAGCCGCGACACCGGCAGAACTGACATTTATATTTGCTCGTCGTTGAGCCTAGACTCCGGCAGAGCTGACATTTATATTTGCTCGCTGTTGAGCCTCGACTCCGGCAGAGCTGACATTTATATTTGCTCGCCGTTGAGCCTCGACTCCGGCAGAGCTGACATTTATATTTGCTCGCCGTTGAGCCTCGACTCCGGTAGAGCTGACATTTATATTTGCTCGCTGTTGAGCCTCGACTCCGGCAGAGCTGACATTTATATGTGCTCGCCGTTGAGCCACGACTCCGGCTGAGCTGATATTTACATTTTCTCGTCATTAAGCCTCTGCTCTGACTGGGCCCACACTGGTTAGGCAAAGTCAATAAGACCTTTCCGGCTGGGCAACATTAAAATACGTCGTCACAATAAAAAGCCGAATCTCGAAATATAATTCGACTAACCGACTCTTAAAATATTTTAGTCGGAAATAAAATTTCCGACGTTCCTTTAAAAATTCAGCGAGTAAAATAAAATGCTGAATATTTTAGTCGGAAATAAAAATTGCCGACGTTCCTTTAAAAATTCAGCGAGTAAAATAAAATGCTGAATATTTTAGTCGGAAATAAAAATTGCCGACGTTCCTTTAAAAATTCAGCGAGTAAAATAAAATGCTGAATATTTTAGTCGGAAACAAAAAAAATACCGACGTTCCTACATATACAATGTTCCGGTAAGGCAGAGCACCTATCGGCAGACAAAGTCAAACTCGACAAAATATCGAGGTAACATTATTTTTCGTGCGTTAATCATTTATTGCACGAAATCATCATATATTCACACATTCATACGCGCGTCATTCATGCATCTTGACATAAATATAAAAAGTCAAGCGAAAAATCCTTAAGGACCCACGCTGGCGAGGTGCAATGTAAGACCTTATTGGCAGGGATCATTAAATTCCTTAAGGACCCACACTGGTTAGGCAAAGTCAATAAGACCTTTCCGGCTGGGAAAAATAAAAACAAAAATAATTCGGCTAACCGACGTTGGTACAATAAAAAGGTCGAATCTCGAAAAATCATTCGGCTAACCGATGTCGGCACAATAAAAAGCCGAATCTAAATAAAATAAAATAAAATAAAAATAATTCGGCTAACCAACATTGGTACAGTAAAAAGGCCGAATCTCGAAAAAGCATTCGGCTAACCGATGTCGGCACAGTAAAAAAGCCGAATCTAAATGAAAAAATAATAAGAAAATCTTTTCCAAACCCTGAAGTTGGTTTGGCAAGGCTAACGCCTTACATATTACATCAAAGATCGGGAACACACTGCCCGACCGAGAAATGATTAAACAAAAATAAAAGACCGAAGACCGGATACCGAATTATCCGATCAGGTCCACATAGTAAAGAAAAACAATCACAAATCAAACAAAAAATCGCGTCGTCTCAATACGACAGAATCGCGAGTCCGATAACAATTCCGAGGGCCCGAGTGCCCACATAATTCCATATCATTATTACCACATCAAATGCTTCGCGTTCCACGCAAAAAACGCGAAAGACGGGTACCAAATTGCCCGACTAGGCCATCCAGGCCTCATTCAAAATTCCAGAAAAATTTACTATCCACGTCATTGGCTCCGTGGGTTTCAAATTACCCGGCCAAAATCGATACATCATTTATTACGGCCAAAATTGATTATACACACGACTTCAGAACAGTTTTATTTAAAACATCCCCTAAAGTCGGGGGCCTACTGTTGATACCAAATTTTGGCCTCGCCTATTAAAATATTACACGTGGATATGTATTATATTAATTATTTTAATTTTGGGCTCTAAGATAATACCGCTTGTGATAATATCGGGCCCATTAAACATATATATAAATACCCCAATGATGGACCTGGATAGATAAGTCTGAGGGGACTATTATTATTTTCTCTCTTATCTGGGACAGAGGCACCGCTTGAATTTTCTCTGCTTCTTAATCTCTGTACTTTCTTCAACAAGAAATATCAAGAAATACAACAAAATTCACCAAAATTACATCAACAAATATACAGTAAATCCAATATATACACCGTGCTCTGAACCCCCCATGTTGATCAATTTTCGTGCATCAACACTTACCATACACCATAGTCCAAGCTCAGAAAGACAACACATAATCCTACAAACTGGCCCGGTCTACCAGACAAAAGAAACGAAAATAAAAATAACTCTAAGAATAAAAACTAGACCTAATCAATAAAATTGTCACGTAAGCACGTAAAAACACCCCCACACTTAGAATTCGACAATGTCCCCATTGTCGACCCTAAGTACAAGATAGTCAAATGTAAAAACCACATTATCAACCGACTCACAAAATAAAACGAACTATACAGAAAAGAGAAAAGGAAAAAAGAGAACGTACAAAGCACAGTGACAAAAATCACTGTGCATCTGTGGTGGGTTGGTGCCGCCCGAACTCCAACGGGTGTCCCATTGGCTAAAACGGGTGTCCCAAGTGGACCACTGCTGGTACTGCTGCTCCGCCCAGGTATCCCATCGGCTTTCGTGGGTGGTCCAGTGATCCGTGTTGTCCCGAACGAAGTTGTTCCACTATCGAGTCTGCTCTGTCCAACGCGCGTTGTTGGATTCTACGAAAGACGTCCAACATGCGTCGTGGGTCTCTACGAACAATGTCCAACGCGCGTCGTTCTGCTCAGTGAAAGCAGTCCAGCGGGCATCATTCCGAGCCTCATACTCGGAAAACCAGACAGGGGCCCCGCCGGAATAAGCATCGGAATGGCCCGCTCCTGATGAGGCTCGTCATCGGCGACTGGACCCTCGTCGGCGGTAGTGTGGAGTGGTGTCTGAGATGGGGCACTTAACGTCCCAGCTATCGTGTGGGATGGGCCGGTGGCGGCTGAGGCTGCGGCTGCGGCTGCGGCGTCTAGCGCCTTCTTGTAGTTGATGTAACAAGTCCGCCTATGGACGGGAACAATGCGGTCAGATTTGATGAACTCGGCATGGTGGAGCTCCAGTCTCCCGACCCACTCAGACGGCATACACGGTTCATCAGTTTGGACGTTGAAATGCGCCGCTATCTCAGACACTATATGTCCCAGGTTCGCTCCACGCCTCACATCATTCCGAATGTCGAAAAGAGATCTCTTGAGGTACTGAAGCATGCACACCGACTTCCCTTAGGAAAGTGACCATAAAATGAACACATGTTTCTCGCTGACTTTGTTCGATTCCTTTTTGCCGAAAATCGTGTGGCAAATGTATTTGTGGACCACGTCGAGCGCCACATCCAAAATGAAACTGGGAGATGCCCCAGTCGCCATAAATGTCACACCCGGGGTTAAAAGTGGCCAGTGAGGACCCGCCTTAAACCCTGCCTGACTGCCTCGGGGGTCCTTGATATCCATCTTGAAAATGTCGCTGAGCACTTTGTCGGTTATCTTGTATTCTTTGCCCTTGAGCCGAGCAGTGAGATATTTCCCTTCCTCGTGCATTTGAACCGTGGAGAAGAACTCGAGAGATAGAGTCGGGTAGGCCCGTGGAGCCATGCTCTCAAAGTACTCGAGGTCGAGCAGGGACAAATAACGTTCGACGTCGTCTTTGATATGGGCCCGGTCAAGAGGTTCCCAATCGAGTATGCGGGGACGAAGGATCGGTTTCGAGTTGAGGCGTTGAAACGTCGTAACCTCGTCTATGTTAAACACCGAAAATGGGACGTCATGTTGTTGAGCAAGGTTCGGTTTTGCGGATGCCGGGGTGGGGTTGGAGCTCGTAGAAGCCCCGAGTTTGGATGGTGCCATTTTCTTCGAATTAGTCATGGCTCGTGGCATGTTGTTTCGTTGGAGCAATTCGTCGAACACTTGGTGTGCGGGGTTGAGCGGTGAGGCTTTGTGAACAATTCGTAGTGGTTTGATGTCGGAGTAGGCCTCCTCTCGCCACACACGTCAACAATTTACAGAAATGGATAGCCAACCATACCTGTGAACGTTAATTCGAGCCGGAGTTGAGCAAATTGACGAGCTAGGGTTGGGGAATCCTAGGAATTTGGCAGTGGAGGTTCGTGGATGATGGTGATGATGATTGGAGGAGCTGATGTTGGTTGAAGTGTGGTGCTGGACGACGGTGACCGGAGTGGTTACGCCGAAGCTGGTGGTTCGTCGGTGCTTGAGTCGTCGGACGGTGAGGTGGGTGGTTGCGCAGGTTGAGCGGTTGGTCGGAACTCGGTGATTTTCGGGGGAAATTGCAAGGAGATGATGATTGGGGGTTAGTGGTCGGGGGGCGTCGCTGCGGTGAGTCGCCGGAGGTGATGGTCTACTGCCGGAGACGGTGGTCGGGAGTTGTGAGCGAGTTGGTCGGAGTGTACGCCTGAGAGAAAGAGAGAGCGGGTGTTAGTGAAATAAGAAGGAAGAGTTCGATTTTTTTTTTATCAACTCCCAAACCCTAGCGGCGCTAGGCGCAAATGAGGTCGAGGCTCTGAAGCCCGCTAGCGGGGCTAGCGGCGCTAGAAAATCAACCTTAGCGGCGCTAGGGGTACATAAAGCCGCTAGTACCTGCTTTCAACCTTTTTTATTTTTTTAGTAAAAATACATCTGTACAATTGCTCGATTTAATGCCGGGAGCTCGGCACACTCGCGATCATGTATATCGTGGTTCGTCGAGATCCACGGTCTCGACGTGCTTCTTCTCGATTTCCCCTCCAAAGTAAGGTTTGATCCTTTGTCCGTTCACGACAAATAACTCACCGGTCGACGGGTTCCGAAGTCGGACTGCCCCGAAAGACAACACTTCCTCAACAAGAAACGGGCCACTCCAACGGGACTTAAGTTTTTCCAGAAATAGTCAAAGTCGAAAATTGAAGAGGAGAACTTGCATGCCCGGAATCAATTCCTTCCGGATAATCCGAGCATCGTGGAGTCGTTTGACCTTGTCCTTGTAAATCTTGGAGTTTTCATATGCCTCGTTCCTCAATTCCTCGAGTTCCGAGAGCTGCAAAATCCGCTCTCTTCCGACGATGTCAAGATCAAAGTTCATCTTCTTTATCGCCCAAAACGCCTTGTGCTCGATCTCAACCGGGAGGTGGCACGCCTTTCCGTAGACGAGCCAGAATGGGCTCATCTCCAAAACTCCTTTGTAAGTTGTCTGTTGGGCCCATAACGCATCGTCAAGTCGACTTAACCAATCCTTCCGGGACGAGTTCACCGTCTTCTCAAGAATCGTCTTAATTTGTTTGTTGCTCGTCTCCGCTTGACCCGACGTTTGCGGATGGTATGGTGTCGCCACCTTATGTGAAATGCCGTACTTCTTCATCAACTTCTCGAATATTCGGTTGCAAAAATGCTTGCCCCCCTCACTATGGCTCTTGGAAATCCAAACCTACTCAAAATGTTACCCTGCAAAAACTTGAGTACCACTTTAGCGTCGCACGTCCTCGTGGGGATAGCCTCGACCCACTTGGATACATAATCAACGGCAAGAAGAATATATTCGAAGCCAAAGGACTTAGAAAAGGGTCCCATGAAATCAATGCCCCATACATCAAATATTTCGACTTGAAGATTGCTAACTAGGGGCATTTCATTTTTAGGACCGATATCCCCAATCCTTTGACAACGGTCACAAGTTTTGCAAAAGTTATGAGCATCCTTACAAATAGTAGGCCAAAACAAACCCGATTGGAGGACCTTAAAGGCGGTCTTTCGACCCCCAAAGTGTCCTCCGCAATGAAGCTTTTGGCAAAAGGCAAGCACATCCGATTGCTCCTCTTCGGGCACACACCTCCGAAGAATCTCGTCCTTCCTCATCTTGTAAAGGAAGAGGTCATCCCAAAAGTAGCTCCTACACATCAACACAAAACGTTTCCTCTCTTGGGAAGAGAGGTTAGACAATAATACTCCATCGGATAAATAATTCACTATGTCCACATACCATGGATGGCAAGTTATTTCACTCACTTGTTCATACGGAAAATCATCATTTATACAACTATGCTCATGCAATGCAAGTGAGGATTCGGAAGGAACAAGACAAGTGATCCGCAACAACATTTTCACACCCTTTTCTATCCCGAATCTCTACATCAAATTCTTGTAAAAGTAAAATCCACCGAATAAGCCTAGGTTTCGATTGAGTTTTGCTCAAAAGATACCTAAGGGCCGCATGGTCAGAATGCACAATCACTTTAGATCCCAAAATGTAAGACCTAAATTTTTCAAAAGAAAAGATCACGGCAAGAAGCTCTTTTTCGGTAGTAGTATGATTCAATTGAGCGTCGTTTAGGGTCAAACTAGCATAATAAATTACACAGAGTAATTTATCAACTCGTTGGCTTAAGACGGCTCCAACTGCAAGGTTCGATGCATCATACATAATTCCGAAAGGTAAAGACCAATCGGGAGCAATAACAATAGGTGCGGTCACAAGCTTATTTTTCAATGTAGCAAAAGCATCCAAACATGCATCATCAAACACAAACGGCACGTCATTAGCAAGCAAGTGACACAATGGTTGGCTAATTTTCGAGAAGTCTTTAATGAATTGCCTATAAAAACCCGCGTGACCCCAGAATCTTCTAACACCTTTCACATTCACGGGAGGGGGTAATTTTTCAATGACATCAACCTTCGCTTTATCGACTTCTATCCCCAGACTCGACATAATATGCTCTAACACGACTCTACTTTTTACCATGAAGTTACTCTTCTCCCAACTCAATGTCAAATTAGACTAGATACAACGTTCAAGCACACGAGATAAATTATGGAGACAATGAGAAAATGAATCACCGAAAATAGAGAAGTCATCCATAAATACCTGTAAACAATCTTCGAGCATATCGGAGAAGATAGAGAACATGCACCTTTGGAAAGTTTCGAGTGCGTTGCAAAGTCCGAATGGCATGCGTCTAAAAGCGAATGTGCCGAATGGGCACGTGAAGGTGGTCTTCGGTTGGTCTTCGGGTGCGATGGCTACTTGGTAGTAGCCGGAAAGTCCGTCTAGGAAACAATAGAATTGGTGGCTGGAGAGACGGTCGAGGATTTGATCAATGAACGGCAATGGAAAATGGTCCTTCTTTGTCACGGCGTTGAGTCGCCGGTAGTCGATACACATCCTTCACCCGGTAGTGATGCGGGTGGGGATCATTTCCTTCTTCTCGTTCTCGATAACGGTGATGCCCCCTTTCTTCGGCACCACATGAATGGGGCTAACCCACTCACTATCGGCAACTGGAAAAATAAGCCCCTCCGAGTAGAGCTTGAGGACCTCCGTCTTCACGACTTCCATCATGTTCGGGTTAAGCCGCCGTTGGCTATCCCGAAAGGGTTTGGCACCTTCTTCTAAGACGATTCGGTGCATACATGTGGAGGGACTTATGCCTTTGAGGTCTCCGAGGCTCCACCCAATGGCTTTATAGTTCTTCCGAAGCACTTCAAGTAACTTGCTTTCTTCCTCCCGGGTGAGCTCGGCAGAAATGATTACAGGATTTTGCTCCTTGTCATTGAGGAACACGTACGTGAGGTGACGGGGTAGTTCTTTTAGCTCGAATGTGGGAATGGTTCGTGTGGCGGGCTGGTCGGTTTCACATAGGTCAATGGTCGGCTTATCATCATCGTCGAGGTCGGGTAAGTTCTTTTCTTCAAACTCTCGTATGGCCACTGCTTCAATGAAAGGGTCGGTTACATCAACAAATGCGCACTCCTCAACAAAATTCACCGAAGATGAGGATGTGGCTTCCCGGATAGAGATAGACACGGACTCGCCCAAGACCGTCATCTTGAGGGTCCCGTTCTTTACGTCGATGAGGGTGTTGGTGGTGGACATGAATGGTCTCCCGAGAAGGATGGTGTGATCCTTCCCAATCTCGTGCACGTCTCCCACATCTAGAATGACAAAGTCTACGGGAACAATAAGCTTCCCCACACGTACGAGCACGTCTTCCACTACCCCCTTGGGATATCGAATAGATCGGTCGGCAAGTTGGAGACACATACGAGTTGGTCTCAAGTCCCCGAGACCGAGCAGCTGAAAAATCGAGAATGGCATAAGGTTGATTCCAGCTCCGAGGTCAAGCATCCCCAAAGCTTCTTTTCCATTCCCAAGGGCTATTTTGATCACGAAACCCCCGGGATCACGTTCCTTCTTTGTAAGATTGTGGTGCATTGCACTCGCCGCTTCGTATACCACAACCTTCTCCCCGTCTTCGAATCTCCTTTTTTTCGTTACCAAGTCTTTGAAAAATTTTACATACGACGGCATATTTTTTATCACGTCAAGAAGTGGTAAGTTGACGTTGACTTTGGAAAGCATGTTGTAAAGGTCCCGGAATTGCTTTTCTTGCTTTTCGTCTCGAAGTCGACCCAGAAAAGGGATGCGTGGTTTGAATGGGTTCGAGGACTTGTGTAGAATCGGGCCCTCCACCGGCTTTTTCGAATTGGCTTGTGTGCTCTCCTCAATGTCATCTCCTTTCTCCCTGGGCTGGTCGGTTGACTTAAGTTCCTCCGACTCGGGCATTTGCACATGGTTGTTGACGACTTTTCCACTCCTCAACACG